ATAACTATGTTTATAAGATTAACTATGGCCGATATAGTCCCAAAAAATGCTATGGATGCTCTGCATTATTTCAAACACATTTTAGATTAAATTCCCAATGTATTAAAAGGGTTTATAAACTCTTCCCATTAGTAAACTAATGAGAGAACATTATCTTTTTTAAGAAGAATAACAGAGACCTGCAGTAGTACCATTTGCAGGGCACGACCCGGATTTTTTTAAAGATTTTCTAAGGCCCGGCCTGGGTTTTATTTAAAAAATTTACAGGCCAGGCTCGGCTTTTTTTAAAATAAAATTTTCAGGCTCAGCCAAGATTTTTTTAAAATAAATTATATTTATTTTTGATTTTTATAGCTAATAATAACGATTTCAAATATAGGCTGTTTTAAAAAAATACAGCCCGGATTGGGTGTTTTTTAAAATAATTCAGGCCCGGCTTGGGTGTTTTTTTAAAAAAATTTCGGACCCTGCCCGGGTTTATTTAAAAAAAATTAAAATACTGTATGGCCCGGGGGCCGGGCCTGCAGGTCTCTGAAAAACATACCAAGAAATACAACATCTGAAAGTAGATTTAAAGGTTTGGATCTTTAGAACATTCATAGGCATTTGACAACAAGCAAGAATGAGATAATTGAAAAATTAGCTCTATCACAACGAAGATTGGATTTACATTGTAAATATATAACATACAAAATGCAATTATTCCTAAGAAACTTTATGTGCAAAGGCTCAAAAAATTCAAATTTCTATTTTAAGTCATTTAAGTGATTCTTTACATATAATTTTTTTATAATTCACATTAATTTTAAATTGTGTATTAGAAATAGTTATTAGTCCTGATAAATTTATGCTTGATATTTTTAAAAAACAATAATATTTCTTGAAAAATTTTATTATCCCCCCCCAGGCCGAATTCCTGCGTACGCGCCTGGTCCCTCCCATTTAATCACTTTTTAACTACTATTATGTTGTATCTTATTTTAGATTAATTAGATTTTTATAATTGATTATGAATATAATTTTATATTAAAATGATAATATCAGTCTCTTTGATATTAGAAATTTTATTTCACTTGATATAAGCCATGACCCGATAAAAGTAATAAATGATAATATTGAGTCAGTGTTAAATTTTTACTGATTATTTTTTAATTATGAGACTTTCTAGGCATTAGTAATAGGAATATTTGCACAAATATTTTATTCAAACTTTTTTATTTTTTAATTTTTATAAAAAAAACGCAAATGATATTCATGATGGAACAAAAATACTAAATAATTTTTATAAAATTTTTATGCAAAAATAATAATAAATATTATATTCTTCTATTTTCATATAAAAATAAATAATATCCTTTGTACATAAAAATTAACTCTCCCAAATATACATTAAAATAATCAACAAAATTAAGTAATATTGTCCCCCTTCTTTAGGAACAAAAACCCGTGGTAAAATGATATATTTTTTGAGTAAGTATAAAAAAAAATAATCAGCATATAAAAAGTTAATAAATAACCCACGTATAATAATCCTAGAATTAAATTTATGTTCCTTCTTTCTGCATCATTTACACTCTTTCTGTTCTTTAATAATACCCGTTACAGCATTATTACAGTTAGGTCAGAGCGTCAACTACATTATTGATGTTCTCTTGATATTGGATCGGTTTAAGAATAATCAATAAAATTTAGTAATGTTTAATGTTATAATATTATAAACATTAACAGATATTCACAATAAATATAAATTGATTGAATAAATTGTATATACATTTATTATAAAAAAAATTTGGCTTCTTGTTTAAATAGGACCAAGGTTGAATCCAATAGCAAAGACCAAACAAAATTTTGGAAACGATTGTAAAGATTACAAGACAGGGCTCAGTTTAATTTAAACGGCCAAACCCCGACTGTTGAGCTTTATTGTTTAAACCACTTAAATATATTATAATTAGAAAATTCAAATTTTTTTATACATTTTCTCATTATTTTGTCTGCTAACCTTTTAGGCCACGATATATTATCTAGCTTCAAAAAATGTGAAAGGTCAAATTGTGTTCATTATTATTTTTTTATAACATTATCAAAAATATAAAAAAATTTATTGTTCTTGAAAAATGAAGATTGAAATATAGTGCTCAATATGAATTTAAAATTTGCTAAATTTGTAATTTTAAAAATTTAATTTAACAAAGATTATATGTGAAATATTTTTAATTAAAAGCTTAGTTTTTATTAAATAATCTAAAAAGAAATATTTTTTCAAGAAATATTTCAATTTGTTGATTAATGTTATCAAATAAAATTTCCAAGGTCGAATTTTAATAATTTTTTTTAAAATTAAATTTTTTTTAAAAAATCTTATGCTTTGTATAATTTTAACATAAAAGTAACATTAAAACAACTTCGGAAAATAAAAATGGCATAGAAGTTAATATTTAAAATACTATGTTTTAGTTTTTTATTTTATAATTTAATGATCTGCAAAGCTCGACAAAAACTAATTTCGAACCGCAGGGCTTTTTCAAATTTTTGTGTCTAGCTAGGTTGGGCTTAATTTTTTTAAATAATAAGCCATTATTTTTTTATTTATAGAATAGTATTTTAAATATATCAAATTTTTGTATATTTGAATAAATTCGGGAAATACCGGTAAAAAAAATATATTTTAATTAGTAGGGCTTTTCGGGATAAATAAATAAAAAAATTGTTTGAGGATCGTATCGGACCGAACAAATTATTTAAAAAAAAAATTTAAGTATGGTGTAAAAAATTTGTGCTATATACATAGCATATGCCCTATTTTATTTTTTATAATATTGATAACTCATAGATCAAAATTATAACAATTTACCATATTATATGATTTCAAATTTTTGTCAGAATGAGTAAAAATAATTAAATAGGCTTAGGTAAATAGTTGGGGTTTAAAGGGACATCGAATTTATTTTTCGCATGTACCGCCAAAATTTTCGGACACTGCGCTGCTGTTGATTGTACGACTTTTGAAACATTGTGCTAGTCAACATCAGATTTATATATTTATTTCACGACATATCAAAAATGAAAATCTCAAGCTTCGTTATATTTTATGCAACAAGCATTTTACAATTTATGTCAAGTTTATCCCAAACTATTGGAATATCAGAAGTCCGATGTATTAAGCTAAATACCATCAGACTGTTGTAGCTTGGGCATAAGTGACTAGGCTCTAGAGTTTTTTGGATGCTGGCATTTTTATGAGATTTAGAATTTCAAAACTCATTAAAATACAATTTACATGTTAATTCTTAGTTATTCAAAACTATTTCAAAGTATTCATAAATATTCTACAACAAAAAATTAACTTTAAATTATGTTAATAAATAAATTTAAAATGAAATTATTTTAGAGATTTTTTAAAATTTATAAGCCTTTGTTCTAGTTGTTTAAATTTTTTACCATTTATTTCAATTTACAATACTTTAACAATTAATTTAATTTTATATATTAAATTATTAAATTACAGGGAGCACTGAAAATTTTAAATAAATAACTGTAGAGCCTGATTTTTTTGGCCAAGGTCAAAACATTTATTTTAATTGATGATTTCTATATTATTATTTTCTATATAAAAATTAAAATTCATAAAAAAAACCAAATCTTAACGATAACCAAAACCCTTCTTCTCTCAATATTTTATTGAGCCCAAACCCGATTTTTTTTTAAAACTATAGGTTTCAGGGTTCGGTAACTTTTTTTTAAAATATTATTTTAAAAATTAACATTATTGTATAGATTTTAAGGATCGAATTAGACAAGAACTAAAGATAATTATTTAAGTGGTGTTAAATTAATAATCCTTTTCACAATTTAGAAATATATATCTTTCGGTAAAAGTAAATTGGGTATAAAAAAATATTTTTTATTATTTTAATATGAAAATAATATTACTTTTACATTTAAAGATAATTTCTATATTTGCTTTACAACCTCAAAACAATAAACAGTAAATAAATTATAAACAAAAGGCCATTAAAATATAAAGTAGAATATTATTATTACAACTATAAAACTATTTGTAAATTAAAATATAAAAAAATATGTAAATTTTTTAAAATATAAAACACAATTTTTTTATATTTTCAATATATAAACATTTTTTGGCTAAATTTATTTTGCGTGGAATCCTTTTATTATATTAGTACTCCATTATATGTAAAAATTTTGACAACAAATTTAATAACATTTTTTATTAGATAATTAATAATGTAATAATATTAGATAATTAATAATGTAATAATATTATTTTGAGAATATTTATAAATGTAAGACCAAAGAAAGGAACGTAATCATAATGTAAAATTTAGTAAATGCAAGTTGCAATATAAAAAATCAATATTTTAATTTATACATCTCGAGAATGATATCTTACTTTTCGCTTATATTCCAATTATAATAATAAATTATTTTTATGGTAAAGCCAAATATAGTAAAAATAAAGTTTAATAAAAACTGATGCTTCTGCCACTTTTACTAAATTTTATAATTCTTTACTGGACCACAAATTCTTAATCCAGGGACTTGGTTCAGAAATATTTTTATGAATCATACCCCAAACAAATAATCATTTTTTTAGAAGATGGTTTAAAGCCCTGAAAGAATCATAGCTGTACCCATTAGAGATATTTTGAATAAAAAATATATTTAATACATTATATATTTTAGATTAAAGTATATTTATATTGTTGTTTTTAAGACCTTATCTTAAATTACATTTTTAGAAATGTTAAAAAATAGTTTTCAAGGATTTATTATAGGAATTTCAATCTCTAAAAAAATATTTCGTAGTTAACCTTTAAATCATTTAGATATTTAAATTTTAAAAATTTATAAAAATATGATCCTTCTTATTTTTTTTTTTATTGAAAAAAGCATATTTATTTATTTTCATTGAAGTTATAGAAATTTGTTTATAAATAAACCAACTTTAAAAAAATTAAATTATTGTTAAAATCTTCATATTAATTTTTTTTATAAATTTTAAGTGGATGTATAAATTTTTGTCTCTTCTATCTGCTATCTATTTAATTTCTGTTTGCATTAAAAGTAATTATATTTAACCATTGTTTTATTATCTATAATATATTTTAATTTATTAAGGACTTGAAGCCAATAATGAGGGTAAATAGTGTTTTTTATTTTTAAAATTTGTTAAAGTACAATTGATTATAATGTACAGCATTTTTTAATGCTAATATTTAATTAAAAATTTGTATTCCTTATTTTTAAAATTAGTTTAATGATATTCTAATCAGTATATTTTTTAAATTTTATAGTAAAATTAATATTAGTATATTTAATATTTTTTACGTTATTAAGTTTCAAATATGACTATTTGTGCTGTATGTAAGTCTCCTTCACTTTATAATAAGTTGATTAAAATAATATTTATTTAATAATTATGTCAGTTAACTACACATGCGAATATAGAAGTATATTTTATAAAAAAAATTTTTATAATTTGGCATTTTAAAACTGATACCTTTATTTAGTTATAGATGATGATATTGTGAGAACTAGAGAAGGTTATCAATTTTTCGAGTTATGAATTGTAAAATCATTACCTAATTTTTAAAATTCACTTATTTAAAACATTAAATATTACCAATGCTACCCTTATCAATCAATATATATTGTATATCTTTATAATAACATATAGTTCAGATTATAGGGAATGATATTCTTGTTGAGAATTTTATTCATATAAATTATGATTTTAAAAAATTCTCATTTCATATAGAAAACCTCTATTCTTCGAAGGAACATATAATCACAAGTATATTACTATCTCATAAATAATTTCACTTAATATTTACATCATGTTAATTTTAAATTTTCTTTGTTACATCGTAAAATATTTTAACAAAGGGTTATTTTCTTAAAATATATCATCTATAGCTCTAATAATTATTAAATCATAAACAATGTTCAGATCCAAATGTCATCATTTGCAGGTGCGATAAGAGTAAGTCAACATTAATATATATTATATAATATATAAAATAAAATTAATTATTTAAGTGCTAATAAACTTCTCTTGTGAAATCGAAGGTATTTATTAAATTAAAAATTCAAATATTACTTTAAATTCAAATTATTACTATAGGCAATGGTATTATATATGTACTAGCAGGTTATCAAATAGTTTCAATCTGAGAATTTATAATATAATAATTATAAATTATTTAATTTTAAGATTTAAATATGTATCAGTCAATAATTATTTCTATTTAAATTTATAGCCGATATATTCAGTTATATACAAAGTAAGATTTTTTTTCATGTACAAGAAAATTCATATAAAAAATGTTTATATTCTTTAGCTTACTTAACTTACATTGACCATTACATTCAAAGTATGTTACTTTGACAATTTTATAAGAATCTCCCTTAATATTTAACATATTTAAAAATATTTTAAGTCTCAAATTTGCTGATCGGAATTAGTAAATTTATAAATAATAATAATTAATATAACATAATTGAATATCTTAGGAATAGGAAATGAAAACCTTACTTTTAATCTAGGTTAAAAAAAATTAATAAAATTTAATTTATAATATAAATATTCATATGTTAGAGCAAGAATTCAAACCTAAAGGTAAAATGTAAACAATTATTAGGTCGAGTTTTATTAAAAAATATAATTAAACATTTAGAATATTATAAAATATTTTTGCTATTTAACATATATTACTATATAAAGAGGCCATGGCTATTCATTGATTATTCTTATATTAATCTTATGATAATAGGGAAAAATACCCATTGGAAAAAAAACCCTATGGAAAAAAATCCCATGGAAAATAAAATTCCCGATATTTTTTTATCAAATTTGACATTTACAAATAACACTTTTTGAAGTTCTTTCATATAACACAGGATTTCTTTTAAGGGATCTTTTTCAAATCGAAGAGTGGTTGAGAATTATTAGGGATGCGTTATAATAATAATATATAGAATTTAAGTAAAGTAAGAGGGGATTGAGCTTGAAAGTGGTTTTGACTTCTACTTTTTTAATGTTATTTGGAATTTTCTTTCATTTATATTTTACAAATTTGGATTTATATTTCTTTTTTTGCTAATTTTAATTTATAAAGAAGAATGGAATAGTTGCAGGATTGTTTTTGTATATACTTATATTTTATTAATATAATTTTATAAGCGAATGCCACAATCATTGAAATCATTGACAGCTATTAAGATGTATCATCTTATTATTTATCATTAAGGGTTAAATGTATATTTGATCAACAAAATTAAAATTGTTCATTAGAATTGAAAGCGCTTCCTGGTATTTAGACATTTGAAAATTAATAATTTGTTAAAAAATATAAATGTTCAGCAAGTATCATAATAATGAATATATATTAAGCGTTTTGTTCTAAGGGGTGTTTTTTGGGGGGCATTCTGTGTATTTTTTTTTCTTGTGGTTTTATTTCCGTGATTTGAATCTAATATAGCTTTATAAGAGGATATTTTACTTAAAAATATAAAGTTTTTATCCTTTATAGCTATATTCTTATATGACTATTTTTATTTAAGATTAATGTTTAAAATAAAAATATTTAAAAGAATACTGTAATTTTAAATAACAATTTTTATTGTATTTATTAAAATAAAAGTGTAAAATTAGATCATGAAATGTAAATAATTACATTTAGTATCATAAAGTATTTTTGTAAGGTATTGTTAAAAAATAAAATAACATTATACATTAGAGTTCAAATAATTAATAATCCGAGGATTAACTATTAAACCAGGATTTTGATTAAGAAGTATAGTTAAATAAAAAGAAGGAACAGTGTTAAAAGGAAGTCAGGAAAATACTAGTTAATAATAATCTAAATGAATGTTTACCCTAATTTCTACCGAACAAGATTCTTTGGATTAAGCAGCATTTAAAATTTTCTAATCTGAAACTATTCTTTTTTTGAGGGATTAACTTATAAATATTAGGTTCTATTTCACCTTGTGTCCAGATTATAATTTAGAAAACTATTAATAATAACATTAATTATATTTAACAAAATATACAATTTCTGAATTAATTAATTTTTTAGACAGAAAGAATAAGGAAAATCATACATTAAAAAAAATAAAATAGTTTTAATTAATATATGAATAGTAAATTTTAACCTAATTATTAAGAATTATATAAATTTTATTACAATTTTAAAGTTAGAATAATTGTGATAAGTTTTACTAATATTACTTGTACAGTTTAATGTTAATTATCCATTATTTATATTAATATTTTTCATTCACATTTTTTAGATATGCATTATTTTAAAATTTATAATTTAATGCTATAATTGGATTTATTTTATATATTAAAATAGTAAATACAATAGGATCCATGCTTAATTCAAGTAAATTAATTTTAATTAAGCAAAAATTTTATAAAATAAATCAATCAAAAATATCAAGCATTTATATAATATGTTTAAAAAAAATAATTTTGGATTATTAATAATTTTAAATAAAGCTACGTCGGTAAAACTAATAGGTATTTTGTCATAGAAATTTATTTATTTATTCTTATCTTATTATCTATATATTTTAAAAACTTAATTATTTCTATTCAAGCATTAAAAATATTTTTTTTGAGTGTATTACATATTTTATTTAACTCCTCATTTAGAAGATGTAAATGGTACCCTTATAATATCTTTAGGTAATCACGACAATATAAAAAATATTTTAAATTCAGATTATTATAATTTAATAATATAACATTATTTTTATCATAAATAATATTTTTATTTATGGATATCAAATATTTAATAATTTAAACTATTTTTTGAGAATTAAAACAATCATCAAACAATTGAATTATATTTCATAATTTATAAATAATATAAAAGAAGGACTAGGAGTAAATCAAATCCTAATACAGTAACGAACCTTGCCAAATCTCTAAAATGAGTGAACAAAATCTTTATAATTTTTTGGAACCGTTTAAAAATCGTTTTGATATATATATAGATATTATACAATAAATTATAGGTTAGACCATAATATTAATATATATTACACTTTACATTTCCCTATGAAGATTTTATTAATTTTATATTGGTAATTTTTAAAATTTATAATCCATAGGACCAGAACCTTTATAAATATTTGCCTTTGAATAGTAACTTAACTGAATTCCTTATACATAATGGTTCGGATCCTTTCTGAAAAATAATACAATATATTTATTTTCAGGACTAGTCAAAAGATTTCGTGGACCAGGTATTTATAATAATTTATAATAGGAATTTGTTTTTTAATTCAATAATATTTTAGTCTCCGAGTTGATCAATATTACATCCTATGGTACATAAATATAAAAATATATCAAATAATATGATATAAAAAATATTTTAGACTCTAGACCATATCTTATCAAACATTATGGTATATTACATATTAATAATATATATAAACTTATATCAAAAATTTATAATAATTTATATAAATTTGTATCAAAAATTTGAAATAATTTATACCCGATCAGAGAAAAATTTTAAATTTCTAGCCGACCGATAAGATACAAATTTTTTCCCCATTGATACAAGTCCCATCTAATTCAAATTCTCCGATTTGATCGGAAATAATTTTAAAAGAAATATCCAAATAATAGAGTTTGATAAAATCTCTATCCAACTTGATGCATCTATGCAAGTCTTTACAATTATTGTTTGTTAAGAAGCAACATATTTATTTCATTAAATTCCTAATTATGTTTAGTTTTTTTTGTATTTGCCTAAGAAATTGCATGTAAATTATTCTGGAGAGATTAGATGAAATCTAGCCTGGCTACATAAAGATATTTTTTGGAGAAACTAATACTATTTTGAGCTGCTTAATTCGCTAGTTTACTACTAGATGCTAAGCCATATTCCTGTAATGAGTTTTTTTAGTTATGGATTTTTATTAATCATTGGCAGATTTAAAAAGATTGTTTTGATTTGAATCCTTCCCAAATAAAAATTCCTAAAAATAAATTTTTTACCAGGTTAAAGCTATTACAAAAACATTAAAATGTACTTTTCACGTTTACATTTTTCCCATCTTTCCTAGACCTTTTACCAACCTAACCAGACTAAATATGACTCAATCTGACGTAAAAATTGAAATATAAAATATATTTATCCAAAAATATATTTTTTAATATTCATTTATATATGGTATCTTTATTTTTATAATTAATCAATTTAGCAATTTAAAAAAATATTTATAAAAAATCAAAACGTTCAAAAACTTGATGTATTAATATCATATTGTAAAAGATAATCTTAAGTAAACATTGCAAAATAATAATCAGTTAAACCATTATTTATTGATATAACTTAAATTCTTGCATTAACAAAAATATTTAAAAACCCACCCCACCCCAATAAAACACATATAGACCCCACTCAAACCCAAAATAAAATATAATTTTAATTTAGAGGCCCAACTCAGACGTCGCGTTTTGCAGACATCTAAAATAAACATAAAATTTTTTACATGATTTAGCCACAAAATCTAATATCTGGGCATTATTTTGAATTTGTTTTCTCTTCCCTCAACGATTTAAATATTCGGTTTTTTTTTTAAATTTTTTATTAATACAATCAAATAATTAAGGATGTCAAGTATTTATTAATTTAGATATTTATCATAACTTAGAGTTTCTGTTTTTTATCTTTATCACAAATAATATTAAGGTAATATTCTTCTTGAAAATTGTAAAATCTTAGATTGTATGATCCTAAATAGAGATCTATATTTGCTAATTTCTCTAGAAGACAAATAATTTATCCTCTGAAAAAGAAGGGTTCTTACAAAAAGGGATATTTCAAATACCAATCTTCAAATAAACTTAGTTTCTTAAGATTTAACTACCCTACAGTTTTATAAGGGTTTCTCGAATTTTAAGCGATCTGAAATATATTAACGTTTTACCATGACTCAAAATTTTGCAAAAATAAATCAACGTAAAAAGTTTTAATAAATATAATGGAAAATTATCAATATTTGAAAAAATAATTTATTGGATGCTAAATTTATTTAAATTGTTTTATTTCCCAATTTAATTTTGAGGTAGATAAGTGATTTATATATTCTGATAATTTTTAGTTGATTAAAACATTTCTTCCCTATAGTTCGATCTGTACAATTAACAATTATCTCAGAAAATGTCTATATATTTAATTCAGATTAGAGATCTGCAAAAGAAGGCCCGGCCCGTTTATGAAAGATAAATATTTGATTTTATTTATAGAACTAGACCCCATATAACATATGTCTTTTATTTTGAATAATTATAAAATTTAAATATTTAAATAAGTTCGGGCCGGGCCGGTAAATTTTCTTTAAAAACTTCGGGTTCGGGTCAGGTTGGCAAAACTTTTTAAAAAAATTCGGGCAGGGCCGGGTTTGAAAAATTAGGCCTGTTGCAGATCACTAATTCAGATAAAGAATGTGCATATTACGAAAACTTATTTCAGAGTCTTTATTATTTTAATTATACAAACAAAAAACTGAAAATATAATTTAATTTTCTCATTAAATTATAAAAATTATTACTTATTTTATCTTATTCTTAATAGATGTTGATATAATGAAAGGTACCCCTAACATAATATTCTTTTATTTATGCATTTAAAACCAAAACTTTATGGCCTATTTCATTTTTAAAATAAAACTTATTTACTAATTTTTGATAAAGTTTTGATAGGTTTCAATTGAATTTAATCTTTAAGACTTAGCTTAGTTATTTAACAACACATTTTTTTTATTCAAATAAAGAATTAATTGCACGTTCAAAATAAAATTTTAAAAAGCAATAAATTATTTGATAAATTATATTAGAAAATAGATAGAAAAGGAAACAAAAAATGATTTAGAGTCTTGGGATTGTTTTAAAATTTATTTAAACTCATCAATATAATATTTAAATTTTATGGAAAATATTAACATTGATATATTAAATATTGTCATAATACTAGATGTTTCAAATATGACTGTTTGTACAGAAAGTAAGTTTCACATTATACTGATTTTAATAAAAATATTTATTTAATAATTATTTCAGATAACTTAACATGTGAATATAGAGGTATATTTTAAGAAATATTTTTAAAAATTTTAAAATATACAATTGATATATTTATTCAGTTATAGATGATGATATTGTAAAAACAAGAAAAGGTTATTAACTTATCAAGTTTTAAATTATGAAAATCATTATCTAATTTTAAAAATTTATTAATGTTACATGTTACCATTGTTAATTTATTTATGCCGTGTTTTTATAATGATATATAGTCCAGTTAAAAGAAAATGAGAAAAATGGTGAGAACCTTATTCATATAAATTTATTACTAACTTATTCATATTTCTTATAGAGCACTTTCATCTTCGGGACCTTACTATCATAGGTATATTATTATAAAACATATCATTTCACTCACTATTTGTTATGTTAAAAATATACAAGCTACAAATTTTGGAATGGGAATATGTAAGTTTATATATTTAGAAAATATTATTTATATATAATAATTTATATTGAATATATTAGTTCTGGAAAATAAAATCCTTACTCTTAATATAGGTAACATAACTAAAAGAAATAAATCACAAATATTTATTTAGAACAAGAAAAGAGACCTAAAGTAAAATGTAGTCTTTTTATTGATGAAATAATTTGTTTTATTTTTATAGGCATTAGCTATTACACTGTATAAACCTCCTACCAATTATAATAAATGGAGAGGTTACATATTAAGAAAATATTCTTATATATTTATTCTAACTAGTTTTATGATATATTTTATTTTAACAAAATTTTTAAAATATCTTCATTCTTTAATTAATCACAATATTTTATTATGGTTCGTATATTAATATATACTATTAATTATATGTAAATATTTATTATTTTATTAAAAATTGGTTTCAGGAGGCAGATGTCAATACAATATATTAAATCTATAAGAATTAAGGCACTTTATATTTAAAATTAATTTAAGATTTAATCGTAATTTGAAAAATCTGATTTAACTAAAAATGCATTACAGAATGTATAGAATACCAATTCTGAATTTTCATTTTGTTATGAACCTTTTCAGGATTCTTTATATTATTGTGATAAACGATTATATCAAGAATATAGTGTTAATTTTCCAAATCTTCTCTCCAAATCACCTAAAAAATAAAATATCTAGATGCAAGTTATAAAGACGATATCTACAAGTTTCTTTATTAGCACTAGACAAGATGAACTATCTTCAAAAATAGAGAACTTAAAAAGAATGGCTAGAAAAATTCTATTATAAAATCTAAGATAGTCCTTATAGAAAGATTCAGATCTGGATTAACGATCTAAGCAGTCTATTAAATTAAATATATTGGCCAAAAATACTGAGAAATAAATAAATGCAAGTTGAAAGATTAATACTTGCATATGTAAATGATAAAATGAAAAATTAATGAGCTATATTAGTATCCTAAAATATAATAGTTTAAGTTAACAAGGAAAGACAGACTACAGCCTATGTATATAGTATATAAATTTTATACAAAAATAAAAAATATATGTTGATAAAATATTTTACCCTACCTACTATTAAATCCTTAACCCATTAATTTCGAAAACTAAACCTGAAATTATTTAAATTGTTAAATAGGATCAGAAATTCTAAAAAGCATGAAAATCTGAAAATTAAATCTTCATTATAGTATTTTGTTTAAATATATTTTTTTAAATCAATAGATTCAACTCCTGCTTTAGCAAAGAAAAGTAGATTCATGATTAAATATATATTATTTACACAATATCTTCAATAAAATTATACATTTTTTATAAAGTAACGGCAATTACATGGCTAAGTATATCTTTCAATTCTTTCTTTTTTTGTTTCTTTCTTTATATATATTACACAAATTTATATTTCTTTAATTTAATTTTCAATTAAAATTTTTCTTAAAACTCAAAACGAATTATTTTTTGTTTTTAGAATATTAGAATTTAAAATTAATAATCTATGAATATTACATTATACATTAAGATATATTTATTTATCACTATTATATATAAAATTTACTGTATATAGAAAAAATAAATGGCACTCTGACAATATATTTAGGTAATCGAAATTTGATTAATATAAATATTATAATAATTTGTGATTGGTATGTTAGAGGGTAACAACATCCTGAATTTTTTAAATTTATTACTACCCAAAAACATTACAAATAAATGGAAATTACAAAAAATCATAAATTTATTAGTGTATAAAAAATAATATTTTACAATATTTTTAAAATAAATTTTAAATCATTTATTATAATTAATGTGACAGAGTAATAAATACAATATAAAATCCTTGCACGATATGAAATAAAATATTTTTTTAATAACTTTCAAAACCTATTTTAAACATTATTTTAAAAAAAATAAATATGTTTCTCTTACCTAGAAAGCAAATATTTGATTATTTTTTAAAAAAAAATTACTTTGCAACTGATACTTTTTACAAAATTTCTTATCTTTCAAATGTTATTTTTATTATTTTATTAATATACATGTTATTTTTAATATCCTTTTTAAAATAGAAGTTTGTGAAAAAAATAATAAGTTAAGTTAAAAATTACATAAAAATGGGACCTAACCAATTGTATAATTTTAATTTCTACCTTACAACTCTTAAGTTAAGATATATTTAATCAATTACAATACGACTATATAAAAATATACAATAAAATTTATATACAATTTAATTTATAACAATATTTGACTCAACTAAATAAGTTTAGATAGTAAATAAATATCTAAAAGAAATAGAATATAAGATAGATTTTAACCTATATACTCAAGGTTTTGTCGATTTTAACGCTTTTTTAGGTGAGTTATAAAAAGAATATAGGCTCATGAGTGAATTATTAGTCTAAATATATTAGTTACATATCCTACTTTAATCACAAGCTCAATATGTATATAAAATTAATTATATTTTTCTTATATTAGGAAGAACAGAAATATTCCGAAAGCATGGTATATAAGATAATTTAAAAAATAAATCCTAATCCATTTAATAATATTATAGTAACCCATGAAATGGAAATCTTATCCAGAAGTATTTTATTCTCATAAATATCCAATTAATTTTATGATTCATAAAATAAAACTATTATTAACAGATAGCCCTTCCTACTTTATACAGCATAATGGTATTTCAAATTTATAACATCCTCATATTTAAAATTTACAACTGGATAAATTAAATAAAAGAAGCAAATAAAATTGCTATTTATAGATATTTTAAAATTTATGTAACTTTCTGAGTTTACAGTTATATATCAAAAATGTATTCGTTAATTATTCTTTGATATTTTATGTTGACATCAATATTGCTTTTTGGATGATTTTATTTTATTTTTGCAAATTTAAAAGTTGATTTATTATTTATATATTCTTATTCGACCATAAATAACTCTAATCTTGATACTTCTATAACTTGGCTTTTTGAATAAAAATGTACCATTCATGCAATTGTAGATATTTATCATTCATCTCGAATAGCTATTGTTAACCTCATTCTAAATTAAAATAAAGTCTATTTCAATTTTATGACCCTTTGATTTTAATTCTACAATATTCTTTTTTTTAATGTTTAATACAAAAACGATATTATCAGATTTTTAAACCATGTATATTTAATATAAAATATATTATGATAATTCAAAAAAGTTTGTTAAATAAAAGATTCAGTTAAACATTAAAAATTATTCTATTTAATTTGTTTGGTCACTCATCTAAGATGCAATTCACTTCTCTTTGAGATCTAGTTATTTTTACCACATTTAAAAGATTTTTAGAAAAAATATTTTATAAATTTTTACTATTTTTTTGTAAGTGTCTATTTAACGTCAATAACACTATAAAAATTGGAATTCGTATATACTTTCATATCGATAAATAATAATTATATAATACCTGGGCTTCTTATTGATTTCACTTGATGTTTTGTACTATTTAAAATTTTTAATATTATTTCCTGATAAATGAGAGAAATACCCACCATAAATTTATAGCGAATTTTCTTTCTGCTACTATAAATGCGTTTTATTGAAGACAAAATCGTTTTATTTCATTAATAACTTTATAATCATAGGAATCCAATGGTTAAAAGGTAAATATAATTTAACAACTTTCATTATAAAAAGATAATATTCTACAATTTATAGTTTATGCGCTTGAATTTACTTTAATATATTTTATCATAATTTTTATATTAAACAATAATAAATTCAATCATATTAACATTCAAAGTTTTATCAAAGATAATAGTCAGTATAATTTTGGCTTACTTAATATAAATTTATATTTTGTGCGATTTATTATGTAATTTATTAAAGTGTAACCGTTATCTGCTTTTTCTAGTTATGAAACTCTAAATTATGGAATTTTTTTCTAGATATAACCATAAAAAAATATTGTAAAACAAATAGTAAATTTTTATTTAAGTCGATTCATCATTGAAAAAAAAGGAAGCTTGTCTTTTCGGTGAATAAAATGTATTAGCAAATATATATGGAAAAAAAAAATGATTCTTACATGGAACTCCTTTCATAATGTAAAGATTATTTAAAATAATTTGTTTTAAGATTCAATGAAGAAAATAGTTTATGGATGTCTAATATAAGTCATTATATTTCTATTATTGCACCCTTCTGAAATATATTTCTCAATTAAATGGGCCGACTTATATATTCAGAAATCTTTCTTCAAGAAAAATCTATAAGATAAATATTTAAAGTGTGTGTAATGTTTACGATTAAATAGACATATTAGATTTAATCGCATGAAAGCAGTAACTTCTATAAATTAAAAAGATGTCGGCCCAAGTTTGTGAGTCAATTTTATCCATTAAGAGAACTGAATTTTATTGACAATTCAAAATTTTACTTCTTTATGAATAAATTGACCGATTTGGCTGGATTCATAGAAAAACAGAAATCGATTAAATAACAGCAGAAAAATGATAAGTATGAATCAGAAAACTTTGCCACATAGAACAATTATAGAGACAATGATAAAAAAATATTTATACATTTTACTATTTTATACGAAATAAAAAGTTAATATTGTCTTAAATTTAATTTAATTTGATGGGATTTGATTATCGATCATTGGTCAAATGGCATGTAATCAGGATTAATACACATTGGAAATGTCGGCTTATTCGGCTAAATCTTTAGGCAATTGAAGAGAATCCGTTTATATTTAACTGTTAAAATATAGAAATTAACCAACTATAGTTATAAGTCATTTTATTAGAAAACACTAAAATTATATTTTTTTTTTATTTTAAAATGAGGGAATATATATAAATTTTTTTGTATCTTTTTTTTTATAGTTGGGAAGACAATGAATCAAGGTAACATTAGAAGACAAATTTTATGTCATATTCTTTTTTTGTAATCTAATATTTTTATGCGTAATTTAATTTAAATTAGAAAATAAACGCATTATTAAACGCTGTTTAATAGTTATATATGCTAATAAGGGAACATCTCATTATACAAATATTTCAACACATTTGTCCTTATTTAATGAATAGTTTTTCTTTTACACTAGAATTATTTATTAAATTCAAAGGATATATGAAAAATAAGATTTATAGGAAGATAATATCTCGATTTTTAGATCAAAAAAAAAACAAGACATGAAAAATAAATCCTTGCATTATAATTTATTATATATATTAAAGAAATATTATCAATATATTAAAATTTAGATTTAATACAAATTCCTTTAGATAGAATACCTAAAGCTATTCCATATGTAATAGAAGCTAAGAAATAGAAAACATAAATTTATATCTTTTGAATAATCATTTGATGCCATTTCAAAAAGTTTTCCTCACCAAAAGAAATTATATTAGAATGGACATGTAAACCCATTACCGATTTTGGCACGATGGCAGAGTAGTATTTAATTTTAATAACTATTCGAAGGGTTTAAACAAAGAAGAGATGTTCCAATCTCCTAGAAAAAAAAAATCTTATATCATTATTGACTTGGGAATAGTTCAATCATTTATCTTTTATTAATAATAGATTAATATATATATATATATCTGACAATAAGAATTACAGGTTTATGGATGAATTAAGAAGAAAAATATTATTAATTTATTTATCTATTTCAATTTCATTAAAATATTTAAACTTATTTATAAAATAATCATGTTAATTTTATATTTTATTTGTTACATAGATAAATTCTGACAACAACGATTTAATAAAATTACCATCTATATCTATGTTAAATATATATTTTTCAAATTATAAACACTTATTCAGATCCAAATCTTATGATTTGTGGGCGTGCTAAAAGTAAATCATCAATAATTTATACAACATAGTAAAAAATATTTTAAATAAATTATTTAAGTGAGCCAATACTATTCTTGCGAAAAAGAAGGTATTGGATTATAAATTTAAAATATTATCTTAAATTAAATGTATTATTTATTTATAGACGGTTTTATTAAAAATATTACAGCAGGTTTATCAAATTTATCATTTATAAAATCATATGCATTATATAATCATTACAAATAAAAAATTTAATTTTAAGACTTAATTTTATCATTTTATACTACCTTTACTAATTATAGAAAATGTTATCAGTTATATTCAGAGTTAGTTATTTATTTTACTTCTAAGGATTTTTATAAAATATATTTATGTTCTTATAGAATACTTAAATCACACTGATCATTACATTCAAAGTATATTACTTTCTTAATTTTATAAGAATTTCACATAATAATCATAAATATATTAAGCATCAAATTTGGTGATCGGAATTAGTAATTTTACAAATAATGTTTCACCATGAAACAATTTTAATTGAATATAATAGGATTGAGAAATGAGAACCTTTCTTTAAGCATAGGTATAAAATAATTATGATAATTTTATTGTATAAATGTTTATATATTAGAGCAAAAAACTAAACCTAAAGGTAAAGTGCATACATTCGCTGGATTTCTTTTTATATTTTCAATATAAATATTTAGACTAGCAAATATTTTTTTCTTTTTAATTTCCATTATAAAATAAGAAAAGGTTATATAGTGATTATTTTTATATAAGAGATTATCTAACATTATAATAGTATTTTATAAAAATATATTTTTCATTATAGATTTATGTTTTAAAATAATAATACATAAACGATAATAGGATTCAAAATAAACTAAATATTTATATTCATAAGAATTTTTAAATGAACTTGATAATAATAGTTTCAACTAGTAAATATTATAGTTTTATTGATAAAGTGCAAAATAAATTTTAAAAAATTTTGATTGCAATCATAAAATTAATTACGAATAAAATAGTATTTCACATAATGGATTAAATTAATTAATAATTCTTTAACGATTCACTATTAAACAATGAATTAGATTAAAGTAGAAAGGATAGAAAAGAAAGAGTTGGTATTTTTATAGGTTTATCATATATACCTTTTATAATATTAATTATTTTATGTAGGTTTATAACAACACATTTATTTAATTTTATAAATATTTTGATGTCTTGTTAAAATAAATATAGCTATTCAATTCATGCAGTTAATGTGTTATTGTAGGAGATTGATATGTATAAATTTCTACATTCTCTTTCTAATTTAAGTTAATAAATTTTATTTGTGCTTGATGTATAAGTAGCGGGTATTTATAAACCATAAGAGATAAAAGCATTATATAAATATTGTTAGTATAATTGTGGAAAATAAGAGATTTCAGGTTATATTTTATTTTACTTATGTTCTCATTATAATTTTATAACTGTTAATTAAAATTAATATTATTTAGCAAAAAATAGTTTATAAATTAACTTGTGAATTAAAATGAAAGGTAAAATAAAAAATATTATTTACAACAAAATAAAGCAGTTTAATTAATTATTTGGAGAAAATATTCAAATGATATTTTGAAAAAAATTAAAATATTTTGGCAATTTTTTACATAAAACTTAGTTAAAATAAATAGCTATAAATTACCATTTCTTCTATTATTTTATTCATAATTAGTGTATAAACCTCCATAATATTATTCAATTTCATACTTGTATCATTATTCAATTTATGGTAGTTTAATTTTTATAAAATATTATAGTTAATACAACAGGAGTCATGTTTAATTCAAGTAATATTATAATTTAAAATAAAAAAATTTTCTAAAATCAATTAGATTCATTTATATAATATATTTTAAAATTTTTTGATTATGTATCCTTAAAAATTTATATCATTAAAGCTAATAAACTAATAGGTAGGTAATATTATATCTTAGAAATAGGCTAAATTTAAATGTCTCTTATAATTTAATCTATGTATTTTTAAATCTTTTATCCTGAGATAATTAATTATTTCTATTCGAGCAATAGAAAATTTTATTTGAGATAATTCCAATATTTATTTTATTTAATATATAGAAGATGTAAATGGCACCCTTATAATATCTTTAGGTATATACAACTGGAAAATATAAATATTTTTTTTAAATTAGATTATTTTAATTTACTAATTTAACATTTCTATATTATAATATACCATTATTTTTATTTATTGGCTATATAATATTTTTAGATTATTTTATAATTAAAGAAATCATCAAACAATTATATTATATTTATATAATTCAAACTGGTATATAAAATCTAATTCACTATTTTTTTTAGGACTGGTCAGAAGATATCGTGGACAAGGTACATAATATAATACATATAACAGGAATAAGTTCTTTGATTTAATAATATTTTAGTATCCGAGTCAATCAATATTACATCCTCTAAAGGTACTAAAAGTTATAAATATACCAAATAATATAATTTAAAAAAAATATATTTTAGGCTCTAGACCATATCTTATTAAGCATAATGGTATATATGTAAAATAATTTTTATATGATTATATCTAAAATTATAAATTTGAGCTTTGCAATTGACCCATTTTTTCATATCCAACGATATCCAATAAAAAATTTATAAATTTTTGGGATCCATCCGAATTTCTTTTTAAAAATTCAGTTCCAGTCCATTAAAAACTTTTTAATTCGAAATAAATCTCACCCAATATGTGTAATGTGAAAGGCATGTGTTATACAAATAACTCAAGATATGAGTGATTTAAAATTTTATATAAGTTTTGAAAATAATTATATTTAATATTTTATAACTTATGTGATATATTCATTATATTGGGCAAAAATAATTTTTATAATAATTTAAATTATTTTAAAATGTTGCCTGACGGGTTCACCAGATTTACAAATCTCATTTTTTTTATTTTTCACATCTTTTATTATAATCATTTTTAACATGTAAATGATTGAAGAACGCTAATGATAAAGATAATCATAATTATAGTAAAAATTTATTGAAAATAGCCAATTTATTCTATACGCGCTTGTAAGGGTTTAACCAAATTGGCCGAATTATACCCCAATTATATACCAAATATTATTGAAAATAATGATTGGAGGATGATAAATATCTTAAAATAAAATTTAAGGGTAATTAAAAATTTAATTTTTTTATAATCATAATGTTAATTTCTAATATATAACATATTATAGGAACAAATCATAAATTCATATATATAATTTTTTTTAATCCTATATTTATATACATTGTTTATAGTTATAATATACTATAATTTATAAAATATTTTTATTATTATAACATGCTCTTATTTTATGATAAATACAAAGTAAAAATTTACTTTAAATCCTCTACGATTTGAAAAAAATAATAATTGCCTTTTCATTTTTTTTCCATATTATATTAACTATTCCGATATTCATAAATAATTTATCGGTTTTTTATATTATATTATGATTTTATACCTTTGGATTTTATTAGATTATATTATATTAATTATAATCAAAACAAATAATATAAATATTTTATAAAATGTTATATATAATTGTATACATTAAAATATTTTATAAAATGTTATATTATAATTGTATACATTAAAATATTTAAAAAAGATTAATATAATATATTATAAAAGGAATTTAAAAGGTTAGGTTGGCTTCATATAGTTTGATAATTACTATGTCGACTATTTTGGAATCTACAGGCGTCCCTCGAGAAAATCAAATAACTGTAATCATTTAGTTTACTTTAGTTTTTTTTTAAATTTAATTTGTTACATTTTTAGAAAAATCGCTAGGTCAACATGATAGTTTAAACCTTAATTTTTATACGGTAAATTGGCTTGACTGATGTAATTTAGTTTTATAGTTATACAAAACCTTTGTTTAAGGTAAAAATCTTTAATCCGAATATCACGATGTTATATATAATTTTGTAGCATTTATAATCTATATATTTTAATTAAAATATTTTCCGATAAATTTTATTTTCCATATATCGTTTGAATTTTATAAAAAAAAATGCAATATATATTCATATAATGAGAAGAGTTATGGTTAAAACAGTGTGGAATTTAAATTAAATTTATCAGAAACATGCTTTGAAAATAACATGTCAAAAATGACTTTGGTAAAATAGGTTTCATTAGTTTTTTTTTAGCAACAATTTTAAGTTGCCAATTATTTTTTGGAAGAAAGTTATTAATCACATTCTTATCTGCTTATTAATACCTATTTTTAATTATTTTAACAAAAATTCCTAGATTTTTTTTTGTTTTAAATCATTGTTTAAAGAAACTTTCAGTCTTTATAAATATTTTAGCGAACATTCGACCAAAATGATTAAAAGAAAAATTCCAACTAAATACAAAATAATTAATTTACACATGGTAAAAGTAAGCGCCGAATTGCCAGAGAATTAACCCTATCTCGACGAACAGTCGATTGTATACTTAAACGCAACAATAATACAATATCGAATCCAAAGAGGCCTGGAAGACCCCACAAAACAACTTTAAGTGATGGTGGATATATAGCAAAGATCAGTAAACGCAATCGACGCCTTGTCGCCTTAGAGATAGCTGCGGAGATTAATCTGACTCGGTAAAACCCGATAAGTGACACAACTGTGAAAAGGCGCCTTAGGAGCTTTGAACTTTATGGTAGGGTAGCGGTCAAAAACCACTCTTGAGCAAAAAAATAAACTTAAGCGATTAGACTGGGTATGAAAACATTAATTTCGAACATCTGCCAAATGGTATCACGTCTTATGGAGTGATGAGTCAAAATTCGAAATCTTCGGTTCTAAAAGAAGGCAATATATCCGCCGCTCAGCTGGAGAGCGAATGAGCGATCACTGCATAATTCCTACAGTCAAACTCAGGGGAGGGTCTGTTATGGTATGGGGGTGCTTTGGTGCAGGGGCAACCGCCGACATTGTTAAAATTAAAGGAATCCTTAACTAAGAGGGTTACCAGCAAATTTTTGAGGACCATGTGATTTCATCAGGAAAGTGTTTGATAGGGAATAAATTTTATTTCACAAGATAATACCCAAAGCATACATCCAGGCTATGCAAAGATTATTTACAAAATCTACTACAACTAGATATTCTCGAGTTGATGACTTGGCCATCCCAGTCCGATCTGAATCCAATCAAACTTTTATGGGATCACCTTGATCGACAAGCGTGAAAAAGCTCACTAACCTCTCATTCGCACCTTTGGAAAGTATTGCAGAGATTATGGAACAATATCACTTCTGAATATTTAAAAATCTCATCGAAAGATTACCAAAAATTTTTGAAGCAATTATTAAGAATAAAGGTGGTCATATTGATGAGACCAAAATTTGATCTTAATTAATTGCTATGTCTTTTATTTTTTGTAATTTTATGCAATAATATGTAAACTTATAAATAAATTTGTTACCTCATATTGTGTTATTTTTAAGAAAAATGTCTAAGAAAATGCAGGGTGGGCAATCGTTTATGACCGGTTGTGATTATAAATTTGAGAAATCATCATAATTTAAAAAAAAATGGTTAGATTGTGTTAAAGTTGGTCTTTTGAAACTTATTTCTGTTTATTTTAGGGCCATTCAGCCTTTGAGCTATTTCTGTTTTGTTTTAGATATTTTTAGAGAATCAAAATTTTGTTATAATAGAAATAAGTATATTTTTAACTTATATGCTCAAACATACTTAATTCGTATCTACAATACCATATCTTGGTATAGTGATGGTATAATACCAATTTTTATTTGATTAACCTATAATATCTAGACATTTTCATAAATTAAATCATCTATCATGAATTTTATGATTTTCATTAATATACCGAAGTTCTTCAAACATGGACTGGCAAAGATATTAAAATAAATTTGATATAAAATAGAATAATACTAGAACTGTAAAAAAATGAATTTAATCAGTGTTAATATTGTAACTAGTTAGAAGATATATTGATAATTTTAAATTTTTTATAATGTACTTGGTTTAACATATTGATATATATAGCTTTTATTAGATTAAATGTGTGGGAATCTTATCCAAATAGCCTTATTTTATGAGTCTTAAATGGCCTGCTAAACAAGAGCTGTTTAGAAATAATCTGAGCATTGCCATAGCTAAAAGTTTAAAGAAATATTAAAAATAGTTAAAGATTAATTTGCTTCTTTAATAGAAGTTGAAAATTAAGAAATTGAAAAACCTTTATAATATGTTAAACACTAGATCAACTGTTAAGTGTCATAGATTGGAAGAGCAAATAACATAAATTTATTTTACGCTAATCGAAATAGAATTAAATTCAAAAATTTTTAATAGAAATGTCAAAAATACTATATTAATAATGATTTGGGAATAGTTTATTCAATTAGTTTATTTTTTAATATATTTTAATAATAATAGTAAATTTTTTATAAATATATTAATGGCTTATAGTAACATAATCTATAATTCTGACTATAAAATTAAATTTTTTTTGGGAATTTAAAAGAAATAGGTTTATGATCAATTTATATACTTTTTTTCAATAGAAGAGAATTAAAAATATTTCTTAAATAATCATACTAATTTTACATTTATTCTTGCATTGATATACGATATCTCATAAAAATTTCCAAACTATAGGTGAGTTAAAAAAATTTTTAATCATAAATACTTGTTCAGCTCCAAATGTCATAATTTCCAGGCGTGCTAAAAGTAAGTCATCATTATTATATATATTACATTATACAAAAATTAAAATTAACTATTTAAGTGATTCAAAATTTTTCTTGTGAAAATGAAGGTATTATTTATTTAATAAAAACATAAAAATTACCTTAAATTGAATTTATAATTTATTTATAGGTGGCGATATTTTAAACATCAAAGAAGGTTTATCAAATATATAGTTATGAATTTGAGAATCTCGTAAATTATATATTTATATAAAATTTATTTTTTATTTTTATATTACGACTGTATTCAGTCATTATTTATTTATTTTTATTAAATATATAGAAAATGTTACCAGTTTTATACAAAGTATTTTGTTTTATATATATGAATTCTCATAAATGATGTTTATGTTTGTTTTAGCTTACTTAACGTACATTGACCATTATATTCAAAGTATATTATATTCACAATTTTATATGAATTTGATTTAATATTTACTATATTTAAAAATATTTTAAGCAAATTTGGATATCGGAATTAGTAAATTTGCAAATAATGATCACGATAACCTTTAAATACATTAGGATTGAGAAATAAAACCCTTATTCTCATTATAGGTAAAAAAAAATTTTTTGATAATTGTATAGCTTTAAATTAAAATTTTAGAACAAGAAACGATACCTAAAGGTAAAATGTAGTGCATAAATTTGTTAGATTTTTTAAAGATATCTAATTATTAATATTGTTAAACTGTATATTGCCAAAGCCTCTAGATTTTGCTAATTGATCAACGTGCCATTAATAAGCCTAGTCCTAAAGCTTGCATAATATTTTTCAGATTAATTTAGAGTTCGTCATTTTTAAAAATCGACTCAAACCTTTTATACACTACTACTCATAATAAAAATTTAGAATATATTGACAAATATTTTTACAATTTAATTTCTACTATAAAATATAAAAACTTCAATGATAATTAGATATCATCTAATATAGCTTTTTAATTATTCTACTTAAAAATATAAAAATTTTAGTTTTCTTACTTGTGTCTTTAGATTCTACTTATATCAAATATTCATGTTTTAAAATTAAAAGATTATAAAATTTTTATTAATAAATATAAGTGCAAAATAAATTACAAAATTTAAAAATACAATTTCAATCATAAAACAATTTTGTATGATTTTATTCTAGAACAATGATAGTTTATGGAATATTTTAATATTTCCATTCTAAATAAACAGAATTAATATATTTTATTTGTGCCTTAATTAGCGATGTCTTTATAAACCGCAAGAATCGTAAACATTTGTAAAATATTGTTAGAATTATTAATTTGGGTAATAAAGAATTTCAGGATTTCCTACCAGATTTAGTTCAGTTTTATTAATAGTATAATTAAATTAAATTTTAAATAATTAATAAATTTAAATTAAAAGCAATAATAATATACACAGCAAAATATAAAACAGTCTTTACCAATTATCAAAAATAGTATTATTATTTTAATATAAATCTCGTATATAAACTAAAGGTAAAAATAATTTGGATAAATTATCATTCCTTCCATTATTTATTTTACAATTAGTGTCAATTATTTCCTATTTGGTTTATTGTTTTTCGCTATTTTTTTTGAAACTGACTAATTTTATATATCATATTTATAAGGTAAAGTGGCTTCATAAATATATTTTTAGTAAATAGTACAACAGAATCCATTATTAATTCAAGTAGAATATATTTATTAAGTGTATGTATTTATTATTAAACAAATTCTATAATTGTACAAAGCAAAAAGATTCATTTATATAATATCTTTAAAAAATTGCTAATTCTTTAAAAATTTATTAAGCTACGTTTCAAAAACGAATAGGTAATATAATATATCTTAGCAAATGAATTAAATTAATTTTTTTTTTTATAATATAATGTATACGTTCTTTAAAATCTTTTTCCTAATATGATTATTGATTTGTTTTCAGAAAGAAAAAATATTATTTGAGTTTATTCCATTGTTTAATTTGATATTTAGAGGATGTAAATGGTACCCTAATAATAACCTTAGGTAATCACGAACTAGAAACAATATAAATAGTTTTTTAAAATTTGAATTAGAATATTATTTTAATTTCTATAAAATATAACCTTATTTTTTATTTATTAGCTACAAATACTTAATAATTTTGCATAATATTATATGAATTAAATAAATTATTATCTTAAATTATATCTCGTATTTAAAGATAATACGATTATTATTTTTTAAGGACGAGACAAAATATTTCATGGATCAGGTATATAAAATATTAAGAATGTTTCTTCTAATAATATTTTAGTCAACAAGTCGATCAGAATTACATTCTCTAGAGGTACAAAAAAATTATATATATTCAAATTAATATAGTTTTTAAATCAAGTTTTTAGACGCTTTACCATTTCTTGTCAAGCATAATGGTTTGTATTTAAAATTTTTATATATAGTTATATTAAATATAATTTAGAGTTCGGTCTAAGATCCGACCAGAAAAAATTTATAATTTTGCGTTATAAATTCAATCTGAATATTATTTTTGATAGATCTAAATCATAAATCTGATCTGAAGTTTTAATTTTAGAAATAGATCCTATCTGATCTGAATTTTAATTTTTGTACTGAAGAATCAAAAAATAATAAACAATTTTGTGTTTTTTTTTAAAAAAATAATTTTTATTTGTTATTTCATTTTTCTAATATAATTTATTACCATATTCATGCTTGAATAATCAAAAATAAATTTAAAACATAACACTCAAAAAGTTTACATGCAAACATCTAAAAAGTAATTCAGACCCTCAATATAGGGAAGTTTTATCTTTTATATAAAATAGTTAATAATTAAAACTTTAATTATTTTTCATTTTTGAAAAATTGCTGCATTCAAAAATATTACTTTTGAGGATATAAATCTGGACTTTATTTAAAAACTATTACTTATAATAAAGGTGACCTAAAGTCATGGCCACGCAATATTTGTATATTCGGTAAAATATGAATAATTACAATAATGTATCTAATAAATGTAAAATATATCAATAATTTATGAAATTTGATATCGTATTATGAATTTTCTAATTAATTAATATAATATTATTTTATTTTTATACCCAAAATTCAATGTTGAGATATTTAACGGTTTAGATTTCCATAGTATCCTCATAGTGTACTTCATTAAGATGATTGGAAAGTTGATGGATAAAAATTTTATAAAATTAAGATGATGATAAATGATATATTTTATAGATTACTGAGATTATATATAAATATATGAATCTCAAAGGGTAAACTAATTTTTATACAAGAAAGAAATAAATTTTGTATATACTTAATCTTATATGATATACTAAATACTATAGATATATTACATTTATTTATAAAGGAATCAATGTTACCCGAAAAGAAAAATAATTCATTATTACTACAATTTATCTTAGATTTATTTTTTCAATATTATTAAATAACTTTGGCTTAATGATGCTTAATCATGTATTTACATTTATTATTAAATCAATATAAATTCGCATAGCATTAATTATATTATATATATTTTTTATGTTTAAATTATAATTATTTTGTAATTGATTGAAGTTATTATACTTTTATATTAATAAAAATCTCGTTTATACCCT